CCACGCAATAGTCGAAATTCAAGGAGTGCGCGTAACTTTAGCCAATAGAATGGATGTATACTTTCACCACGGCAACACTATACCGCAAGTCCCTCAACAGTCACCACAATCTTTTGTTGGGTTAAAAGGGGTTATCCCTTGTACCATCGGCGCTATTTCTCTCACCGTTGGACGCACAGCGCAAAAGTTGGCCAGTGAAGCAGGCATCATTGTTTAAGTTGTCAACGCTACACCAAGTACAATTTTCGAAAAAGCCGATCTTGAAAACACCGCATTCTGAGACAGCTAAGTTGAAAATTTTCTTCAAAATCTACAAAAATGCCTTTGATTTTTTTTATTGTAATTAATTACCCAGTTGTCGTCACTTTGATGGTCAGTTACGGTTTTCATGTTTAGAGTTAATTTGTGATCCGAATGTCGCAAGGTCGTAGTTCATGCTGTCACAATCACTCTCTTTTGAAAACTGATCGCATTTAAACAAATCTCGATGATTGAATCCGCGGACAAGCTGGAAAGTACTCATTCGAAATCCACAAGAAAAGACGATCAAATGGAAGTTGTCTGGAGAATCAAGTTGTCGCATATTGTCTGCTCGTGACTTTAAAAAGATGCAGATTGTTTAAACAGCTTTTCAAGACAAGCCTCATTCGCATTTGTTCCACTTCTTCAGCAACTCCGAGATTATGAGGTTAGGGAGAAATATTACATCCAGTACTGAAGTGTAGTTTAAGTAGCAGTGCATTTTCAACAGGAGTAACCAGAATTCCGCAGCTGCGTTTTCTGAAGTATTGGAATCGTCGCACTCTAAGTTGTTACGAAATATAATGTGCATCACCGTTGTGTGAGAAATTTGGTTTGAAAATCCGTAATGCTATTTTGGTGAATCTACAGATGTCATAGTTATGACTAGCTGCCTTTCCAATCAAATAAATTATCAATGAAAATCATTTTCCAAGCTTATAGCATTGATTTGTGTGCATATTTTGATGCTAAAAAGAGTCGACAATTTGTTATTTAACCAAGTGTAATTGTTTTTTCATAACTGTCAGATAAGTGAGCAAGTAATGCGTCTCTCTGTAGAATTGTTTAAATCTTACCTCGTTGAATATCACTGATTATGAATTGTGTAAAGGATTGCTTTAACAAGCGGTTGCTACGGGAAGCGGATTTTTTAAGTCTACCAGCTTGGTAAATCACCTTTTGCTTTCAACAGGATTTAAAAGTCATGTCTAAAGGCAGACTTACACAAAACCAGGCACTCTTTCTTCTTATACTTGATGCTGTTGATTAACAAGTTTCCATGCTTATAAGTTTGTTCCAGTTATTACAAACCCAAGAATTATTTCCTCTTAATGATAAAGATACTTGTTGCACAAATAGCGTCCAGTTACACGTCAAGTTTGAGCCTTAAAATTCTTAAAACATTGGCAGAAGGCAGAATTTTAGTCGTCCACTCAATCAAACTCTGGCAGCCGCAAATTCGATGACCAATTCGTAAAAGAAAAATTAATGTGCGCCAATAAAAAGCCGACGGTCGTAAAAGTCCCACGGCAAAACAAAGTTGATCAAATGAACAAACTCTATTAGCAGACACAAGTACCGCCTATGCAACTGATAAGCCAGTTAGCCAGAGGGAGCCAATTAAATTTGAGAGAGCACTTAGCTCGTAGCCAATGAAAAACGTCTGTGAGCGATCTGAGCTCCTACCGCCAGATCGCTCCTTTGAGTAAACTTGTCGAAGGTACTCAGTAGCCCCTTCTGAGTTCCTAAATTTCGGATTATTGATTTTTAATAGCATTGGCAGTGGGTGACATAGCCCCTGACTGTTTAGACTGTGCTCGACTTCGACAAGAGTAATTGAGTGAAGAAAATGTGAACAGTCATGTCAAAGTAATTGCTAAAACTATCTGTTTCTGATTTCAATCTAGTGTTTAGTTAATTTCATTAGCCAGAAATTAGGAGACCAGTCAAATATTCGAGAAATATTGGATCGAACGCATTCATCATGTAAGGTTAGACTAAATTTTGTAACACGACAAAGACCTACTTTTGCCAAATAAAATATGAACACGTACCAAAGTAAATTAAAGTGGGCATAATTTATGCGGCAATGAGCATTCTGCACGAAGTTATTAAACAGCTTCTTGAGAACATTGTTGATAAGCTTAAAGATTACGTTTATCAACCTAAAAAAGATCCTGATCCTCGTCTACATTTAAATCCAATACAATTACGTGATCTTTTGATCATTCTTTGCTTCCTTTTATGATGTTGCAACATGGAATATTGCTCTAATAATATATTTGGACATGTAGATCACAAAACCGATGGCGTTGATTAGTTTTTATGACAAAAATGCCATTGCGTGCAAATATTTTGATTAGCAGATGCCTTCAATTGAAATATATTGAGCAACACTTGAATGTGGCCGGTGTAAATAAATTTTACTGATGCATTATTTTTACTTTTTTTTAAATCCTTTATGCTGAAAAGTGGGTAAAATCATTTTACACCACAACCCCAACTTAAGCATGCAAACTTGTTTTCATTAATGCAAATAGATACACTAAGGCCTTGTTAAAATCATGCATGCTGTAAAATGCATTTTTTTAAAATAAACTAAGCCTTTCTTAATGTGAATATATGAAGTAACTGTGCATGCCTTAATTATGCGCCATTGTTTTAGTCAACCACTTAAACTTCTTTTAAGGTTTCTCGGGTTTTGAAGCTTGACCCACTAACATTTGATGGCAGTTTGAAATGGTATGACTTACTGATAAAGGTCTCTAATTGACCGATAATGTTTTCCAATAAATATATAATCACTGATGTAAAAGGTGTTCAGGACCTCTGAATTAATTTTACATGTTTGATTTCATGAGTCAATCCGATATAAAAGATATGGTTTGTAAATTTATAGTAATTAATGCATATTTTTTCTTTCAGAACATCACTGGTTATCTCTGGCTGCCTCTTTGTGTTTTTTATATTTTTTATATGAAGTTTTACTCCCGCTATGTCATTTATACTGCTGGTGACTTGATCCAATCGGCCAATAATCATTCTCCAGTATTTGCACCAAGCAATCGATCAAGCAGTATTTCCAGTGCATTATTCGTGGAGGACTTTATATCTGTTCAAAAAGAGGAGTCTCAGAAAATTTTGGAAAAACGACACTGTCCCTCTGGACGGTTATCGCCCTATTTGACAATTTTGAATCAGTACGCCTTAGTGAATAAATCTGAGCCCCAAGTAAGTTTTTTCCTCAATTTTGTTTTTACTTACTATAGTTGATTTCCTTCGTCTCATCGGTGAACTTTTTGCCATTTAAGCAATGTTTTTTTTCGTATTTTCTCTTGTTTTGCAGATCATTACGACTGAACCCATTCCAGTTATATATTTTGATACACGAGTTCTATGGCCGAAGTTTGAGAAATCCCTTCCAACGACCTGTCCCTACCGTTGTATATATACGAATCGATCGGAGGAGGCCACCAATGCTTCAATTGCCGTGTTTACCCGCGGCCCAACCTCGCAAATGGCGACCACGTTTGCAGACGCTTTGTGGGCTTTTGACAGCGATGAATCGCCTCTTCGAATGCCGTCGGTGCATCAAGATTATCGCCAAAGGGTAGAATTTTGAATGTTCTCGATCTAATTCTCATTATTTTTAAACCCTGCGCTGAAATTCGTTTCTTAAATCACCCCAATGCCTGACCTCATAAATCCTAAGTCTATCCGTTTTTTAAAAAAAAGGGTCGAGTGAGGTTATCCAATTGCCTTGTTTGTGTATTCGTGGTCTGCCAGTTTCGCTCTACTTTGGCTAATTACTTTCGAAAAGTTATTTAATGTGCGCAAAATTACCGAAAATGCCTCCATAACCATTTATGGACAACACCTGCCCCAACCCAATCCACTTGACGCATTTAACTCCAACGTTTCATCGATAAACTATCTTCTGCGTCAAGAGTAATAATGTTTGTTTAAATTAGGAACTAAATGCGTCACTAGATCACTTCGCCCACGTACCTTTTATTTGCATTGACCATCTGGACTTGTTCGCGGAGCTTTAAATGCGGTGGACTGCGCACGCACTTGTACATCGTGTGATTGATACCTTATTAGCACTGTTCGTTCGCCATCTAATGGGACGCCATTAAGCGAGCTAAACAGTCCAGCCAGGTAATTTGTCAATCTGACCCGTGTTTTCGCTATTAAACTTCTCCATTCGTTAATTGGTAAGGTGTTTTAGTAAAATAAACTCCCAAGCCGCCTGCACAGTTGTAGGATTTCGTTCCGAAGCACCCAACAACAATCCCCTGTTCATCGATGAAGTTAGTTTTGTGTGTAAATCTGGGCCTGATGAAAAGCCAGTATTTTCTGCACACATTTAGTCTTTTACTTCCGCATTGTACGCGCACTGTAGCTGCATAAATTAAAGCTTCGGAAGTACTCATTTCCTCAAGATTGTGCTTTCAATTTTGTGTGTGTTTGTCATTGCTTCCTTGAGGTGCATAGAATCGACCCACCAGCAAGAGGGAGCCATCTGATTGGCTAGATGGTTTTATTTGAATCGCCGCCACCACAGGACCGCATTGGCTAAAGCTGCGTGTGTGTTTTGTTCCACCTGTCGATTGAGTAATATCGTTATCTATGTTATTACAGTTGCCCTCTTTATAATTTACTTCTTTTTCAGTTCTCAATATTTCTGACAAGCCACCCCAGCTCCACGGTCCCCAAACCCTACGGCATGTATTGGGCCAATACCCAGCCCGAGTGCGTCATGCCAGCCAATGAGAGGGCACGCATGCGCAGCCACGAGGACGCCAGACGCTGGTTGCCCCCGGACATGGCCACGAAGACCCGTCTCGTTGCATGGCTCGTCTCCAACATGTACGCGGTGAATCAGCGAAAGCTCTTTGTTGCAAAACTCCGACGCTGGGTCGCTGTGAGTCGTGGGCGCACACTTTCTAGACAGCTAGAGCTAAATTCGATGCAGATAACACTGCAATGTAATCCCAGTCACTACCGACACTCGGGAGAATCCCTAATTCCCTTGTGGTTGCCACATTAGGAAAGTTCATTCCACAAAGAAGTGGTTTTAGTGCAACAGTGATCGTTTGAACTAATCAGCATTTTATTTCAATACTCCAGAAAACTCGTCCGATTTAGACACGCCTGTTCATCGTGTAAATTTTAATTTCGATTAAATCACTACCTTTCGTGGTGCAAGCATGTCCATTGGTTGTCCAACTCTTGCGTATCGATCGATAGACGCTCGCCTTTATGATTGGCTCTTTCTGATTGGGTGCTTGAAACTTGATTCACACACGAGGTCAAACAGTGCACTTTTGATGGCCTCGTGGTCGGCGCGGCATGTGGTGTTTATGGACCCGAGAAAGTGTTTTTGTTAGGTTAAAACTTGCAAACAATGCCAGATGCAAACGACGCTCACACTCATGTGTGTGTGTGTGTGTAATCGATTCACCAATTCAAATGATGCGCGGTTCGACGGAGGCGTTTCAAACACCCACAAAAATCAATGAACCAGTGAATTATGGTGTGCTTATTTCGGCTGCTTCGACCCAGTGATTGTTTGTCACAATCTGGGAATCAGACACTAGACAGAAGGTGCCACCTTCGAGAAAAATCAGCACATTTTTGCATCTGATTGGCTCCAAGTCCTCTTTTATTCAACACTTTGACAGTTAAGATTTAATTAATTCGCGTGGTTCAGGAGAAGCACTCCAAAATGCACAACACCAAGCGCACTGATTGTTGCGTGTTTGATGACGTGGTTTGTGTGCTAATTCAGCTTGCTTGGTTCATCTGCTGTCACTGCAAACGGTCCATTTCAATCGTATGCCCGTCTGTAATGCACTTTGGAATTGCCAGTGCTGATTTGTTGTGCTAGTCGTTGATCTTATCCCCAGCTCTCATTGGCGCGTCCATTTTGACGTCCATTTATTCGCCGTTTTATTGGGTCGTAACAAATGTTTGTCTATTGTAGGTAGACATTTATGGTTACAGGAGGTTGGCCTGTCCAGAACCCAATTGCCTTGAACAACTGGGCAAACGCTACAAATTCTACCTGGCCATCGAAAATTCAAATTGTCGAGCTTACATAACGGAGAAGTTGTTTAAAAACGCATTGAGGTAAGAAGCTGGGTGTAATTTGATTGGCTCCGTGTAACCACTCAAGTAGGCGCGTCAATCGCGCACATTTGAAGCCGTGTGTTAGCCAATCAGATTGCGGCGGTGGTCTTGAATTTGAGGGTCCACTAAGGTAGCCCAACAACAAAAAAACACAAAGTGTTAGGAAGTGCTGGCTTACGTCGTGGCTTTTAGACACAACATGGTCCCCATAGTGATGGGCGGGAGTCCAGACGACTACTTTAACTTGGCACCGCCGAACTCCTACATTCACGTGGACGACTTCGCTTCTCCAGGCCACTTAGCCGCTTACCTTCGGTACTTGGACCGTAACGACACCGCCTACGCGTCGTACTTTGCTTGGAAGGGTCTTGGTACCATTAGGGTAGGTTTCTGACGCCTAAGTGGGCTCATCAGCGTGTACCATTCATCGAGATGATGTCTTGCCTCCACAGAAAGCACCCAACACATTCTGCCGGCTGTGCGCGCTGTACCACACCACATTCCGTCGGTCGAAGCCAGTGCATTTGGGCGATTTCGAGGTGCACCTCAATCCCTGGAATCTCTGTATCAGTCCTGGAAGGTGGCCGAGTGATTTTGCTTCAAATAGGATATCTTTTACGCCGTTTTTATTAGTGCTGATCTTGCTTTCTTCATGTTACTCATTTGTTGTGTCTCCGCTCAACCTGTAGGTCTATTTTTTTGCCAAGATTCCCAGTCACATGCGCAATCAACTCCTGAAAACAAATTCCAGCTGCTTTTTTGACAACTTAGTGCCTTGTGTGTCTGTAATCGACTCACCGATTCAAATGATGCGCGGTTTGGTGGATGAGTTTCAAACACCGACAAAAATCAATGGACCAATGAATTTGAAAGTCGAGCCTTGTGGGTGTTAATGCGGCAGACTACTTTCTCCAGTTTAAAAAATTGCGATTCGATATCCCAAAAACACTTTTGCTACCAAAAGAGATGTACGACAAGATTCATCCACCTAGAATCAATAACTCCAGCGATGCATTGCATTTTATACGACAGGTATTCTTAGGCGATGCCTGCATTTGAGGAAAATCGCTTGATTTAGACCAGTTAGAAACAGTGTAAAACAAGTTTCTATTCGCTCTCGGAGTGGTCTGGGCTCTGGTGGCGAAGAGAATGGAAGGAGGGTGCGCTTAATTGAACATGCAAAACAACGCTTATTAGTGGTGTGATTCGAAACGACACCCTGACGTATGCCCCCATATTCGCGTTGGTGAAGTTTTGTTTGTATGTAAGGACGCGCTGCATATGCTGGTATTAATGCAAGCGGGCCAAAGTCAATTCCATGTTGGGGTTTAGCAATTCATTCTGCTTCGTTCCGGTTGCAGAGTTGCTCAATGTCGACAATCGTTTCTGAGTCCATTCGTCGGTAAAATGA